AGCCACAAGCGCTGCCCTCCTTTTTTTTTTTGAGACACAATCTCACTCTGTTGTCTAGGCTAGAGCAACCTCATATTTCCCTGCAACCTCAAACTCCTGGGTTCAAGTGATCCTCCTACCTCAACCTCCCAAATAAAGGATCTAGGACTCTCAGTACACACCACCATACCCAGTGAATTTTTCTATTTTTTGTAGAGACAGGGTCTTGTCCAAGCTCGTCTCAACCCCCTAGCCTCAAGCAATCCTCCTGCCTGCGCCTCCAGAAGTTATAGCCACCATATCCAGCTAAAAAAGAATAGTTTTTAAAAATCCTACTTTTACAAACTTTACAAAAGTATATCACTGTGTAAATACGTTGCTAAGACCCCCTTGAAGGGTCTACAAAGAGTCTATGAAAATGGGATGTTTTCAGCTTCCCAGTAAATCCACTCTAGGCCTCTGGGTTTGTGGCTGTCCTTCCAACAAAGTTCTGGAAGGCTAACCTTGTGGAAGAAGGAAAGTCAAAGCTGTTCTAAAAACTTTTGTCATTATTATTCATTTTTAGCCCTGCTGACCCAGGTGCACACAAAAGAATCAACTGTACAATTACATGTGCTCACTCACTTTTATTTTTTCTCAGCTTCATTCTACAAAGATTCACTGATGGCTTCATCTGGTGCCTGCTACTGTGCTGATGCTCGCTTGGGACAGAACTATGAATGAGGCCCCATTTTGCCCTCACAGGGCTACAGACTGGTTAGTCCCAGGTGATTCCCCATCTAAGTTTCCAAGATGAAGTATTTTCAGGTTGTTTCTCCAAAGTCCTAATTTCAAGGCATGGAAACTTGAGGCCCAGAGAGGTTGAACCAATTTGTAAAGGCAGGAAAAGAAGGAGGAAGCAAAGCAACACATTGTGTGCCTACTACGTGCCGTGAGTTCCCCATTAGTCACTCACAGGCATGATTGGATTGAACGGTCAGTGATGCACAGGGCTGCTACATTTCAGGGAAACTGAGGCCCAGAAAGACTCAGCCCTTGCCGAGGTTCACACTTCCTGAGGGACAATGCCTGAATTTGTTTCCAAAATGAATCTTCATACAAAGCTCAAAATTCTTTTCTTATACCACATTTTCCAATCTTGAGTCATTTACATACTACTCTCACAAATTTACCATATCCACACAAAATGTTTACTTTAAATTAACTATTTTTTTCCTTTTAAACATCCTCCAAAGAAATAATACTCATGAAACTGCACTTCAATATGGGTTAAAATTAAAAGTTATTAGCCAAGCATGGTGGCTCATGCCTGTAATCCTAGCACTTTGGGAGGCCAAGGCAGGTGGATCGCCTAAGCTCAGGAATTCAAGACCAGCCTGAGTAAAAGTGAGACCCCCATCTCAAAAAACAGCAGGGTGTTGTGGCAGCACCTATAATCCCAGCTACTCAGAAGGCTGAGGTGGGAGAATCACTTGAGCCCAAGAGTTTGAAGTTACTATGAACTAAGACACCACAGCAACAGAGTGAGACTCTGTCTCAAAAAAAAAAAAAAAATTAAAAATTATCATCTGTGTACTGCCTGAAATTGTCTCAGACACCACACCAAACTCACTCAGAAAAACACCTTTGCCAGTATGATCTCCAGAGACAACAGAAACATGTCACTTGAAGGTTTCTTAGAAGTCGTCTAATTTTTACATTCCTTTTGTGTTGCAGTCAGGATAGGAATTTTAAAAGAATGAATGCTCCTCATACTGACTCTTAAGTATTAGTTTAGCCACCACTCAACCTTTGTGGTTATACTCTGGCTTAGGAAGATAATAATAAAACATTCCCAAAAAAATCCAGGGATGAGAAAATTGGGAGAGGCCCCTCTCTATGGCGTCCTCCTTGGATTTCTCATCAGGATGACTTCAAGGATAATTAGAAGATTTGTGTATGACTTAATTCCTAAAACCAGAGACCTTTCCAGTTGGAAGATCATTAAAACAGGACAAGAGAGCACTGTAGAAAGAGAACCACACGGAGCAGGAACTTAGCTGTGTTCTATTGCTGGACTATCCCTCCCATGGTTGTATAAACTTGAAACAATCATTCCCCCCTTCGGGATCAATTCTTCTCTAGAGTGGAAGCTCCACACAGACAGGGGCCATATTTCTCTTGTACACCTCTGTGTCTCAGCACCTGAGAACAGTGGTTGGCACGTGTGAGGGGTTCGATAAACACTGGTGGAATGATTAAATCAATCAACCCACTTATCTGTAAATGAACTAAATGGTCTATAAGATCTCTTCCAATAAATGAAAACAAAACAATGTTCTAGCCCCAGAAACCATGAGAGTAAAAGAGGGTATTTAAGTAGAAGCCTCCATAACTACAAATCATCTACAGATAGTCCCTTGGATTTAGCAGATGCAAGTTGAAAGAAAGAACAAGATAAACCCTCCAGCTGGATCACAGAAGCAGGAGCCCTGTGGCCTGGCACCGATGACAGCCCAGACTAAGGGATCTCTAAGAGCCTGAGGGGCAGTGTCCACAGGGGTCATTAAGCCTTGGTCCCACAGTTGTCAGTGACTTGGATGAGAACAAAGATAGTTGTTTATCAAATTCCTAGAAGACAGGCAAGAATCAGCAGGAATAATACATGACAAAATCAGAATCTGAGATGGTTTGCGTAGGAGGAGATGGTACAGGGAGTCTAAGAATGTAAAATAGAAAAGAGACATTTTCCCTTTAGTTCAAAAAGCCAACAGCACAATTAAGAAATAGGGAACGAGTAACTTTTAATCCCATGTATTTACAAGAATCTGTGATTTTGGTTCACTGCACATGGAATATGAGTCAACAGGGTGACGTGAATGCCAAAAAACCTAATGCAATCTCGGATTGCATTAAGAGAAATATAGCACTCGCAGAGCAGGGAGGCAAAAGTCCCTTTCTCCTCTGTGCTAGAATACTTTTGTAATTTCTGGTAAACTTGAAGAAGTACATAGACACAGTGAAACACAGTCAGAGGAAAGGCATAAATTGAGAGGAAAAACATTCCCTAAGAGGAATAGAGGACATTTAGCCTAGAAAAATCACAGACTTAGAGAAAAGAGGGGAATAAAACATGAGAGCTAGCTTCAAATATTTCAAAGAAAATAGATTCATTCTCTAGAAAGGATAGGAGGGTAGCAAATATTTTCTGACAATGAGAGCTGCCATCGCTCAGAATGAGCTATCTATCTGAGGAGGGTCCCTGTCTGGGGAGGTGGGTATATGGCAGAGAAAGTGAAAGATGATAGATAGAGCTCCATACGAGACCAGCTCCAAGGGTCCTACCTGCCCTGAGAGAGCTGGTACAGGAGGACAGAGCACAGAGTTCTGAGTAGGGTGTGAGTACAGACAAACAGGGATCACAGTAGGGATCTACAGTAACATACCCCAGGCTCAGACTGTCTCAAAAATCTACAGAGCACTAATCAAAATCAGCAAAAGGTTACAGATCTCCTGCAGGAAACAGCAGTATGTCTGTGCATTTCCCTCTATGCTGAAGCCTGGCTTTGTGTTGTCAAGTGAGTAAAAAAGGAATTTGAGAAGCAGCTGCAAGGCAGAAAAGGGGACAAAGTAGTTGAAGAGAGAGATGCGAAACAAGTACTGATATGACACAATCGAAATCAGAAGAAACTTGTCTTCTCAGAGCTATGTGCACAGACGCGTGGTTTAGGGACACAGATTCTGACTTTTCTCTACCTTAACTCATATCTCCAGTTGCTCAAAGAAGATAGTGGTGCTTCTAAGGCAGCCTCCAGGAAGATCTGAAACTCTGCTTGGTAACTCTCCTCCAAGAGCTAGTCCATTTCAACAGCCACACAAGGCACCAGGCACAAGGTGAGAAGCCCAAGAGGGACACTCAGAAATACATCACTGTCATTTAAGAATATTGGTTCCCATTTAGTGAGTACCTACTACTTGCAATGTACAAAAACCTAATGCATTTTATAGCTAAGGAACGCAAGGCTCAGAGAAAAAGAAAGTGGCTTGGCTGAGATGTCACCCCAAAATAATCCCAGTTCACATTCACTAAGGACTTCCTGCGCACAAAATATATTTTATATAAATTCTTCTTTTGCCAAATAAGATGGCCTTTCAGCAAAGACCAGCTCACTCCATCCCTGGCCAAACACCAAACTGAATCAAAAGTACTCTCCCTGGAGCAGCGGTGACAGCTGGCCCATGACGAGGAGGAACAGTTTATCACTGACATTGTTTAGAACCAGCGGCACATGGTGATAATAAAAAGTACATCGACTTTAGTCATCTGTATTAGTGCTTTTGAATTCTCCCCAGACCATGTGTGCCATGATCGACTGCACTCGGGAGACAGCTCACACAGCCTCTGTCCCCCTGGCAGGCCACGCCTGGGAAGTCGCTCTGTGACTCCCAGCATGCACCTCTGCCCCTTGGCTCCCCAGTCAGCAAACCACTGGCTCCTCAGACACTTCCTTGATAGCACACAATAAACTGCTTGGGTACTTACCAGATAGGAAATAAAGATTCTACTTTTAAAGATCAGAATTCAAATGCCCATCGGACTCGATTGAATGACTAGGAGAAGATGAACAGCATTTCCTTTTTGGAAGTAAATGCTTCCTTAGCCATATCAAATTGCAACTTTAATTGCTTTTATGTGCACAGAAGAATCCCCTGTCTATAGTTACGTCCATTCATTGCAACCATATGGCCAACTCAAAAAAAAAAAAAAAGCGTTTGCATCCCTAGGTATCCCTGCAACCAACCCTATACTGTTCCTTCCTGGGGATTTTTCCTCTGCTCCCCCAGAGGAGACTCGTACATCACTGGCACAAGCAGCTCCCCTAGTTTCTTCCCCAACACCTTCTTCAGAGAGGCCCCTACAGTGCAGCCACTGAGCAGGAAAACGCCACAGGGAGGAGCTAAAGGGAAGAAATCTCAGGCCACCCGGGCTATTCTCTCTCCCTCATGCAGCTACAAACCAATGCACCGAGGCTTTTGCTTACTTGAGGTGGACTTCTCAATCTGCTGCAGTGTTCTCAGAACTTTGTGTATGTCTTTCATGCTAGTGTCTTTCTGGCTATATAAAAGAAGCCTCTGGGCATCTGAGAACAGGCGGGAAACACTGTAAAGGGAATAAGAAAAGAAGAAAAGCTCTCGTTAGGCTAGCTGCCTCTCTCATTTTAAGCAAGTCATTGTCAGGTACACAGACCCCAGCCTGGGGCCATTCGCAGGCAGGCCTTGGCCCACTCCCATGGCTCCCCACAACCCATGCTACTGATATGCTCCCAGCCACCTGCCCATCACCCCTACCCCAAATGACCTTCCCCAAGTGTCCACACAGCTAAATCTTCCCACCCTTGAAGTCCTAGCCCAACACACGCGCACACACACACACACACACACACGCATACACACACACACACACACACACACGTGCGCATACACATACATGCCCCAAGGACTGACTTATCCATGGAGCAGGATACTTCTTTTAAAGTATCAATTATAATGAAAACATGTACAGAATAAAGAATCTTGTCTAGAATATGTTCATCTTTATACCAACAGACTCATAAAATATAATTTTAAATTTT